CCCCCACCCCAACGCTCAGCTTTCTGACTCTCCTGGCCCCAGACCATCCCTCTGTTCCTTAGTGCCGTGGCCTGACCGCCTTGGTGTGTCTTCCCTCCGGCAGGTTTTCGGCATCATCCTGGTGTCTGTCTTTATTTATGATGCCTTTAAGATCTACCAGACGGAGATGGCCCCGAGAGCCACCGAGGGTGAGTGGCCATGCCCTGGGGAGAGGATATGCCCTGTCCCAAACAGCCCCAGCCTGAGAATTCTTCCCCTGTCTGGCTTATCTTCACAGGAGACCAGCAGTGACCTCTGGGACTACCTGGCTCTCACGGCCCAGCCAGGCAAAGGGTACAGGAGAGCCCAGACACAGCTCCCTGCCCACTGCCCCCCACCCCCAACCCCCCAGATGCCTGCAGAGATGGAACCTGGCCTGAGAAGTTGCCAGGGTCTTGCTGGTGGGGCTTGGTGCTTTGGGGCCCTGGCTCGGGATGCAGCTCCTGACAGGGAAGAGGGAGGCAGGGAGGGGGCTAGGAGGAAGCTGTCCCCCGCATCATTCTTAAATGAAAAGATTCAAATTCTACTGCCAAGTCCTTTTCTCCCCCCGGTGCCAGGCGACTGGGGAATGCCAAGGAGCAGTCATGGGGACCTTGCCTCCAGCAGGTTGTTCCCTGTCTCTCAGGCTTCTCTGACCGGGTCTGTGCAGGGAGGAGGTGAGGGCTGGACCTAGCTGCCAAAGCCATCCTCTACACAAAGCTTCTAGCCCGGACCTCTGCCAGGGGGGCCACTGTGTGGTGTGCTGGTGGCCGGGGGCGGGATTGAGGGGGCAGAGCTGTGTGTCTGAGAAAGCACAAACCCTGCCTGTATTCATGCCCACCTGCTATAACTGCACAGGCAGGTTTGGTAGTGGCTTTGAGGTGAAGGGCTCTCCCTGGGATGTGCGGAGAGCTCCCCCTTGTAGCGTGTGTGTGTGTGTGTGTGTGTGTGTGTGTGTGTGTGTGTGGGGGGGGGTTGGCTCTCAGGCCATAGGTGCAAGGTCTGCCTGTAAGGGCTCAGCTGAGAGGGTGCAGACCGCGGGCACCTCCTACAGTCTGGGCACCAGCCCTGCCCACCCCCCGACAGCCCAGCGCAGCCTAGGACACCCCTCCCTGCCCTGGTCCGCCCAGTTGGCTCTAGCTCAGTGGTTCCATCCATGGTGTCAAGCTACCTCTCATCACGACCGGCTGGTTCCCCTCCCCGGTTCCCTCTGGGTCTGGCTCGCCCATCTCCCACTCTCCGTTCCTCTGTGCTTGGGCCGGGTGACGGGTGAGAAGGGAAGGTGGTCAGGAGAGCCTGGTCTTGAAGCTAGGCTGAAGGGTGCAGCTTGAGCAGAATGGGTGGGGTCCGAGCAGCCACATGATCAGGGCGAAGGTCCCTGCAAAGGCTTCAGAGCGGGTGGCGGGGGAATGGAATCTAGGGGCGGGCACGGTACAGCTATGGACTCGCTAGTGTAAGCGTGGGAGGAGCAATGACCAGGCTTGGTTGGCCGGGCACACTGGTTCTGACACCCTGTCAGCTACCTAGTTGTTTCCAGGGTAGGGTTCTGACCCACAAAGCGGAGGTGACAGGGGCAGGATCGGGTGGAGTGGGAGGAACTTCCCCGTGAGGTAGTGCCAAACCTTCTTTGCACCCTTCCTTGCCCACCCAGCCCTAAGCCTGGTTTCAACGAAACATTCTTCTAGTGGGAACAGGGTGTGTGTGGGTGGTGGGCAGCCTCACCTTTGGCACTCAGGTTCCGTCTTGCGCTGCCCCAGGTTGATTCACCCCTCTCACCTCTCCACCCTGCCGTGGTTGACTGGGCAGGTAGAACTGGGGGTGATGGCTATCTTGCCCGGGGGGGGCCCCATGGCAGTGAGTGAGATAGGGACAATGCAGACACTGTGTGGTGTGTGGCTGTTCTGCGCTCCGGTGGTAGCCAGGATGCCTTGGCTCCTGCCGTTCGGACACCTGTTCCCAAGGTGCCCTGCTTCAGGATGAACAGTCGCCGGGAAGAACAGAGGAGCTCAGGCTGTGTCTGCACTCGTGTTTATTAGGAATCGGTGAGGATGGGCTCCCCGCGGGGTGGGCAGCGGCTTCACTCCTCATCAAGCATTTTCTGCGGAGAAAGGAGTGAGAGGTGAGGGGGAGCAGTGGGTTGGAAGGTGGGTGTGAGGGGGACGTTCTATGCTTTAAGGGCCCGAGGGAGCCCTGTGGGGAACAGAAGGATTTCTCTTAAGTTGTCTCCCCAAAATATATGCCAGATTTAGCTTGAAAATAATTGTTCACTAGGCAGCGAAAGTGGGTCAGAGGTTATTCTCCCCAACATCGGCCATCTAGAGTGGCCAGATTAGGTCTGACTCACCCCAAATAGGGCCCATTCCTTTCTGTTATTGTTCCCTTGAAGCAGTGCCCCTAGGCAAGCCCGGGACCCCTCTAAGATGACTAAGCTTAGGCTACTATAGCACATTCACCTCTAGGTCATCCCCCTCCTATTGCTTGTGTTGCCATTGTTACAACCCCTCTCTATGACATAGGTTGTTATCTGCTATCAGGGGGCTTGCATGTCTCCCAGGATAGTAATTGCCTGCTTTATTGTATGAGACACCAGAATG